CAACAATGTATGTATACTTATACACACGACAGGCGTTAACAAGTCCGGAATTGCGTCTCTAAATTATTCAAATGCGGCTTCGCAGTTTTTTCGCGAACGCTTACGAAAAATTCTAAAATTGCTTCGACTTTACCTTGCTCATACAGTGCATTTCTTTAATGTCCCCCCCTTTTATTTATTGAACGGATCAACTTAGAAAATTAAAATTTAGGATAACAAAACTAATGCATGATTACTATATTTTGGAGTAAAATTGACAGATGAAAATTTCAAGATGGCGACTGGGCGCCATATTGTGAAATAAATTTAAATGGAAAGGGGGGTCTTGTGACACATCATTTTGAAGCTCCTGACAAATACTGTACAACCCTGGAATATAAAGTCAATACTGCACCCATTACAAAATGGGATCATTTAATAAATACCTGAATACAAACAAATTTATATCAATTTTTCTAAAATTATTTTAGAATAATATTTTATTTTAGAATATTTTTTTATGCCAAATAGCAATCGCAACAAACCGATAAGGTTTGACAGGTTATTTTTGGTTAAAAAAATTCCAAAAAATTTAAGTACGACAACGAACATTAATTGTTTAGTCAAAATATGCTCATTTAGTTTTTGGTTTTCCTAATATTCAAAATATTCTCTTTAGTTTTCGATTTTCCTAGTGTTCAAAGTATTTTCATTTAGTTTTCGGTTGTTTAGTTCTCATTGTAGTTAGGTAGCACGTGAACTAACTCTACATTCATCCAATTCTCGTCCATTGGAAGATGGAGCACCACCACATTACTCCAGACAAGTAATGAACTATTTGGATGCTATTTTCTCTGGTCGTTGGATTAGTCGTCGAGGTCCTACGGAATGACCAGCCCGCTCGCCAGATTTGACACCTTTAGACTTTTTTTATGGGGCTATTTGAAGCAAAAAGTGTACGAAACTGAACCTGCTTCAATATTGGATATACGAGAAATAATTACAGATATTTGTAGAAATATCGACGTTACTATGTTCGGATAGGCTGTTCTTACATCAAGAAGTTCAAGGCAACCATTTCGAGCATTTTTTGAACTGAACTCAGCTTATTTCCTCGAATTATGACGTTAAACATCGATGTATTCAGGTAATTATTAAATGTCCGCCATTTTGTAGCAGGTGCAGATATTTACTTTATATTCCAGGGTTGTAGAGTATTTGTCAGGAGCTTCAAAATGATGTATCACAAGACCCCTCTTTCCATTTAAATTTATTTCCCAAGATGGCGCCCAGTCGCCATCTTGAAATTTTCATCTGTCAATTTTACTCCAAAATATAGTAATCATGCATTAGTTTCATTATCCCAAATTTCAATTTTTCTAAGTTGATCCGTTCAAAAATTAAAGGGGGGGTACATTAAAGAAATGCACTGTATACCTACTAACTGTAGAATATGTACTTATTGGAAATGTTAATGAATAAGGGATGTAGTTAATTCCGTAACTTGCAATGTATTTAACAAGTTATGATTACATATTGAACAAGTTTAAGTTTGAGAGTTATCCGGGCGCGAATTGATCGTCCGGACCCGGATGATGATTAATGCACCGATTATTTGCGTATAACGTAATACATCTCGTCGGATTTAATTAGATGCGAGCGAACAATGCCTGCAAGAAGTCTTTTGTAGATCAATAATTATAGGTAGAGCCGTGGTTAATTAAATAATTAAATTCGGATTAATTTTCAATGTACCTACACACTTCTCTTATAAATATTTTTGTTGGAGGGGCTTGTATTTACATTTAGGTAGATACATAAAATCGGTTGCGGTGAAAGCAAAGCAAAATAAACAGTTTCTTCCTTTTATCGTACAAACGAAAAGCTTATGAATTAATAAATACACAACTTCAGTAAACAATAATTACCATAAAATTGGAGATATTATTCCTACGTAGGTATACAATTTTATTTAAATTACTCATAAAGTTTTGTTCTTTAAGTACTTTAATAACGTCAATATCTGAGGGTTGTATAGGATCACTGACTTCTTGTTCTAAAATAAGTTACCCTCCTATTAGTAGAACTAATTAGGACTTTATAAGTAAATGTGTTATTATAGACAATTTTCCTTATCCATTCCTTAAAAATTATTTTCCATTTGGACGAGATTCCGAATTGATCCCGTCATAATATCATCCTCTTTCTTCGACGTTTTTTTCTTCATCTTCATGCGAGTTTAAAGAGTTCTCGAAACTGCATTCGAGCCTGACCTCTCGAAAGCGAAATGGCGGATCACATTAGAAGAAAACGAACTTTGGCTTTTTGAAGCTTCCACTTCGATTTATTGAAATTATATGGAGTGAGCGAAAAGCGCGGCGGAGCAACGGTAGAAATCCAATGAAGTTGAGTGGCTGGTGGAGATGGAATATCGGTTTAAGGACGAGCAAAGGGGAGAGGGAAAGTCAGTTATACAGTTTTGTTTGTCGAAAGAGTCCGTAAACCTCCCGTAATGTCTGATTCGTAAAAATCCGAAATCGTGCCCAAATTGCGGATTGGTGCTTGAAATAAACGTCGAAAGCTCCTACTTAAAATCTTTCCAATTACAATTGTAAACCGTTATCCACTGGGACTAATCGACTTTAATTAATTTATTTCAAGTAATTTATTGGTAACGCTCAGCTACACAAGATCTTTCAATAATTGTTAATCAATAGCTTTACCTATTATAGTTTTAAATGCGACATTAATTTTATTTGATTTTAAAAAACTTACTGATATTAAGTGAGACTTATATTTACTCTAATAAATATTCTTAACTTAGGTAGCTGCAAGGTATTTATAAACTTTTATTTCGGAAATTACAATTTGTGTAATTCACTGTAAAGCGGAGAAGAAAACGTTCTCTCTTCAGCAGAGAAAGGAGAATTTAGATAGTTTATCGAGCTTCTAGAACGTGCATAATGAGGATATAAATAATCTTACATCCTTGCCGGTATTTTTCATCATTAAAGGTGCTATTTTTGGCTTAATACGCTTCAATTTTAATGCTAACCGCACGGTTCAAAATTGTTGAAGGGAATTTAGTTATTATTAGGGAGAAAGTTTTCGAAGTTGGGTAAAAATTTAATTATGAAATGTTCGTTCTAACACAAGCAAGTTAAGATAAAATTCGTATAATCTACAACGCGAATGCTTTATTACCGGCAAAAATTTATGCTTCCTTTTTTCCTCGCATTTTTTCCTACGTTACTCTAGAAAAATGTGGTTTGACACTTGAAGTTTCTCGCTGATAATCCTTACTCTCGGAAAATTCTTCCGATGTACCATCAAATTTCCTATCTCTTCGGCATAACGTCGATAATGCTTTTTATGATTCTTTCCACATACTTGAACGCCCAACTGTATGTGACTTCTTTTTGGAAGTATGTGCGCTTATAAGAATCCGATCTGATCCCAGTTTTTATATACAGTGTGTCCACGGATGGGGTTGCCTATGGGAGAAAAATTTTTATTATTCATTTTACGACAAAAAGTCATTGTTTATAAAAATTTTTGCTTCTTTTAAAAAAGAGAATAACACTGAAAAATCTTAGATTGGATCTACAGGGTGTTGTCAAATTAGGAAAACATGAAAATACCTCAAGAGAGAAGTACCATTATTTTTTATTTTACACAAAATTTTTATAAAAGAAAGTTGTTTATAATCTAAAATAAAGCCAGAATACAAATTTGCAAACTTAAATTCAAATTTTGTGTGTCCCTAAATAAAGTTGACCAGATAAGAAAAATGGTTATTATTAATTTTACGACGAAAAGCCATTCTTTATAAAAAAATTAACTTGTCGAAAAATTGAGATTCACATATCAAAACATTAGATAAGACGTACAGGATGTTAGTAGAAAGAATTTTTATTATTTTACATAAAGAAAGAATTTATTTATTATCTTACATTATTATTTACAAAAAAATGCTTTTAATCCAAAGTAAATTAAAATAATTAATAATGTAAAAATTGTATTTTTTATTTGAAAATTTGTGTTTAGGCTTTACTTTGGATTTTTTAATCCAAAGTAAAAAAAGTAAAAAAATGTTTTTACATTTTTTTTGTAAATAATAATGTAAGATAATAAATAAATTCTTTCTTTATGTAAGATAATAAAAATTCTTTCTTTCTTGAAATTTTTTCCTGTTTCTTAATTTACTAACACCCTATACATCTTATCTAATGTTTGGTATGTGAATCCCATTTTCAAAGAAAGTTTCTTTTTATAAAAAATTACTTTTGGTCGTAAAATTAATAATCATTTTCTCCTCTGGTCAACTTCATCCGTGGACACACAAAATTAGTATTTTAATTTGAAAATTTGTATTCAGGTTTTATTTTAGATTATAAACAACTTTCTTTTATAAAAATTTTGTGTAAAATAAAAAATAATGGTACTTCTCTCTTGATGTATTTTCATGTTTTCTTAATTTGGCAACACCCTGTAGATCCAATCTAAGATTTTTCAGTGTTATTCTCATTTTTAAAAGAAGCAAACATTTTTAAAAACAATGACTTTTTGTATTAAAGTAATAAAAATAATAAAAATTTTTCTCCTATAGGCAACCTCATCCGTGGACACACTGTATAATAAGTCGTTCTTTTTGAGAAAAAAATGAGAAAATGTTAATTATCTCTTACAAATTCAACAACAGTTATTTTTCAGCTCGGTTTCGCAACAATATTAATTAGATCCTATCGTGGAAATGAATCCTTAAACAAAGTTTACCTTGATGTGTAACCCATTATCTGCGCTACATACATTAAACATCATTAAACGCAGACGTACACAGACTGTAGCATTATGCAGGAAGTCTACCTACAACTGTGCTTTTGTCAGAACATCCTCTTTATCGAGGAATTAACGCGACGTTAACATTGTAGAGCGACACAAAAGGATTCGTGCAACAGGGCGAATGAAAAATGACGTTTCTCTGATACGCTAATAATTAAATAAAAAACGATGGTAGTTACCACGACGAGATTCCACATTTTCGCTGCTTCTGCTACGGTCGTACAGACGGTACTGCATCCAGCTAACAACATCAGCTTGGTGGGCTGGTTGTAGAGGAGATTGTACATGACGCTGGCGCCCAGACCCGGTTCGCACTGGAACAAAATATTCAAATTGCTTCACTAATAACTAACACTATACTTAATCAGGTCGATTCTGTTTGGATCTTGTTACGAATCTTGCTATGATAACCATGTTGTTATATGTTTAAGTTATAACAATATTGCCAAACATTTTCTTATTCTGTTTCGATTAGTTTAGCAATGTTGGTTATATTTTTAACGATTAACCATATTGCTAAAAACATGCTGTCATTAGTGAAAAATAAAGCTGACAACGCTGTAATTATCTGAATATAACCGAAATAAGAAGAATCCCCCCTAATTTTTTTTTATTTTACGATTAAATTTTTAGCAATACAATTAGATTTTTTATAAAATGATGAAAGGACGAACAAAGAAAACAAGCAAGGAACAAATAGAAGTAATAGTAATAGTTAAAAAAATTAAAAAATATTTAAAAAACTTAAAAAAATATGAGTAATTATTTTTACTATATATTTCTGAACTAGCGCAACTGGTATATAGATAAAAAGATGTATCTCTTTGGAATGGTTCTTCTAGAACTTCTGACAACTGTTGAATTAAATTTAAAACTGTAGCCTTATTTAAGTTTTATAAATTTTTCATGTAGCAAATCAAAGGGGTTACTTGTATTTCGTATTTGCAAAAAATGTAAACTCTTAGCTCATATAGTAAAGAAAAAAGGTTGCATTGGCCATCTTGCTATCAAATAGCGAGTACACAAATGACATAGTTCAAATAGCAAGATTTATAACAAGATATCTTTACTAATGACAGATCATATTGTTTAAAATACATGAACAGAATAGGTTATTTCTTAGGACCCGAATATCTGCTAACAGTAGCATGGTTTATTGCTAGAGTATTTTCTTAAATGGTTACTATCATCCTATAGTTGCAGTGTTTAAAAAAAAAGAGTATAAAACTAAAGTTGAAAAAAAGACCCAATAAAAACCAATTATTCCGAATAAAATTTAGGATGGCCATTTCTAGGGTAATTGCTGCAGTTTCCTGAAACTATTCGAGACAACTGGTTTTGGCAAGTCCGCATTTTACGAGCATTTCTTTCGCCTGTCAGAACGTTCCGAACAATCTGTAATGGTAATAAATGCAAATTTCTGTTGATTTGGATGCAATTTTCCATTCCGAATTTTAATCCAAATTTTGCTTTTTGTCCGTTCGCGCATAAAAGAGGAGCGGCCTCGATTTGATTCCAAAAAAATACAGATTTAAAAAGCGCTCGGGAAAGAAATAAAATATCAATTAAAGTAAACAATGAACACCCAAAAAATGCATCTAGGTTGGCCAGGTGTCCGTTATGAATTATTCAGTAAAAGAAAATGTATTGTTAATGCGATAAAATGATACACTCATGGCACAGGGATTAAAAGCTTTTACTTCCGCATACCAAATTAAGTTAATTATACCAGCAGTCGGAAATTTGTCCTCGGCTGGAACACGTATGCTACTACCCGTTATTATTTTTTTATTTGAGGACCAGGTTCTCTCAACTGAAAGGATAATCCTCTTTAGGAGGCTGTGTCACAAAATTTTGATCCGCCTATAAATGGGGGGCAAATCCTCTCTACGACCTTCTTTTCAGATTTAACCTCTCGTTTACTTTGATTATTCTCTTTAGAGATGCGGCTAATAATTAAGCGCGTTCTTGTATGAGCAATATTTTTGTTTTCTCGTAATTTTTTATCTATATGAAAATATCTAATAGAAAGTTCGCGTGAAGAAATTTTAGCCGAATCGAAAAGGGTAGGTGTGTTTTTCGGCCGAAACTTTACCAATCTACTTTCTTGATTATTGCCTACGTGGTATATTTGGTTAATCCCCCGGAGAGTTCGATGTTAGTTTCTATAAAAGTTTCGCAAATCTTCCAGAATGCTCCCTAATTTGTTCATTGTTGAACTCCATACGAAGTTTTCGAGAAGAAAGAGGTTTCGACTTATTTCGCTGGAAGTCTCGTGCAAATTATAATTGGGACTTCTCTAGCTCGTTCTATTGCAAATTATTATATTAGTTCGAGAGAGAGTTTTGGAATTAATTTTGGCTAAACAACGGCAGAGATAAGCGTTCGAGTCGATTAAAGATGCGAATTTACAATACAAATGTTAGATAAAATCTCAACTTCTAGTGAAATTTAGACAATATAACTAAAATATTCGAGCACGTAAGCGTATTTTCCCCTACGAAGCAAATCGATATCTAAATAAATCGACCCTTCATTTATATCAATTTGTACTACTCGCCATTTATACGGAGGGATATGGCGTGTTTAACCTTACGTCTTTATTTATATTTATAATACCGACCTTCGCTTCGATCACTTCGGAAAATCCACGTTCGCGTTCGACTTGGCTAATGGCCCATTCGCTCTGACGCTTTGTAGACCATGGGCCATAAAATTAGCCTTAATTGGCGCTTCGAATAACTCACGGCACGCTATGATGAGCGGTTTATTCGATAGCGGATGCGATTTGCTTGCCGATGGGGAAATCGTCGTGTTGCTTGGCCAGGGTTCTCGATATAATTCGATAGACAATGTTTCCCGGTACCTACCTATAATTCGCGGTAATTTTCAATCCGGATCTTCATGTCGTTAGCTGTTGTTGGCCTGCCCGTTGCCGCGATTTGACACCAATTGATTTTTTTCTTACGGGGATTTGTTATGGACAATGTCTATAGTGTTAGGCCGTGAAAATTACCGCGAATTATAAGAAATTCCGGAATTAAAAGAAAACTAGCAGGTAAAAATATTGACAATGTTATATCGTTAGAAAGGCAATAAAATTTCCTACAAGATGGTGTACAAAAAAGTTGGTAGTTTCATTTAAAAAAATCAAGTTAGCTTTAATTGAAATTTTGTAAATTTGCTTATCGATATCTAAGAACACAAACAGTATTCAATTCTGAATCCATGTCACACAGTAGTACATTTCATGTTTACTAATAACCCAGAGTCACGATCTTCTAAGTTTTACAAAAGCGGCAATATTCATTTTTTTTTCAAACCTCTACTTTTTTCGAAAATGTCGAATTGCCACTAAACGATTGGTTTTAGGTACAATGTATGGTACATAAAGTCGCACTAAAATTCACTAAAGAGTTCAAAAATGTTATAATATACAGGGAGTTCTATTAAAAAAAATGTAACTTTAGTGAATTTCTAATACTGAGCCACCCTGTATATAGACGAAACTATTTTAATAATATGCAGTATTATTGTACCTACCTTTTGAAAAAAAATCAAGTCGATATCTCAATTAGGTAAAAAGTTATGGGACTTTAACGCGACCCTGGGTCACCCTGTATGTAAAGTGCTATTTTTAACTTCATTTTTGAATTCTATGGCCTTTTTTAACTATAGACTTTGATAATAACACCATATGCCAAAAATGCACCATTTTTAAGATATTACAATTTTTTTGATATTTTTTGGAAAAACAGTCGAATGTATTTTCTGTGATATCTCTGTTAATAATGCAGCTAGAAGCTTAAAATTGAGTATCGATGATGTCCAGACATACTACTAAATGAAACTAAACTGTATTTTCAGAATCCATGTACAGAACGTTGAATCAGTTTAAAAAATACTCTCTATTGCATATAGGATGTGTATAAAAAGTACGAAAAGTTAAGATTCAAAAATATGAAATTTCTTTATTTTTTCAAATCATAAACAATCATTATTTTAATAAATCTTGATTGTTATAACCCAACATTGACATTTTTGCTATAATTTCAAGAGCTGATTTCCTTTGTTGGATTAACATAAGGCCATCAAATGGCCAACTAGATAACTCAAAAAAAAAAGAAAATTCATATCTTATTTAATAAAACTTCGATTATTTCAAAAACTACTGGATTTGGGTATAGGAAACACCCATATGGAACGAAAGGCCTTGTTTTTCCAAAAAATATCAAAAAATTGTAATATCTTAAAAATGGTGCATTTTTGGCATATGGTGTTATTATCAAAGTCTAGTTAAAAAAGACCATAGAATTCAAAAATGAAGTTAAAAATGGCACTTTTCATATAAAATAACGAAGTTTGTGTCAACTTCCGGTATAGCCGGAAGTGTAACCAAAATGAAAATATTTTAGATCAATTAATATTATCCAAAATATACTATAACCAAAATTTCAGTTTTAAGTATTTTCATTTTTGAGATACTTCTAATGGACGGTTACCGTGAAAAGCCCTGTATAGGTATTCACAAATCGTTGTTTCGTGAATTAAATAACGCTAAAATTCATTTTCAGTTTCATTTTAGTTTACAAAACTCTATTATTTATGAGAAAAATAAAGACGTCATTCGACGGTGTTATTTCCTAAAGAGCGTTCAATGATTTATAACAGGAATAAATTGAATTGTTTCTTTGCGGTGGTGGATGAGAAAAAATTGACACTGTGACAATGTAAAAAGACACCAATAAATATCAATTCTTGGCGGACTCGTTATGAGGTATCCGCAAATCCGGTAATAGAATCGATCCCGGAGGATAAGAAATGACAATCGCTCGAGTTATATCCAGGGGCAAAAAATCCTAGATTCCAGTTTTATTCGTTTTTATATTGAACGAAGGAGGCTTAATCAAGCGTACAGGCGATTAGCCCCTCGTGATATTGAAAAATGAATATTCAATGAAATTAAACAAAAAATAAAATAGGAGAAATAATTTACTTAACGAGCGACAATTTCGAGCTATCCCTTTTACGCTTTAGTAAAACTTTGTCCATTAGCCGAACAAAATTTCCTTCCATTAAAGGAAACAATGAAACTCATTACAGTTACTTAAAGATAATTAACAAAAACTGAGTTCGCAGTGCAGAAATGATGTTTTAAAACCGCATTTTGTTCCTGTTCCGTTAGTTAATTTCGACTTTTTACACTGCTAAATTGCTAAGTAATTTTAAAATATATACCACTTTGTTAATGTACTCAAAAATAAAACCAAAGAAGTAGGTATGATAATGCGTTTTAAATATTTACCATAGTTAA